CACAGGAGGTTCTCTACAGTTAGACTTGAGAACCATGTCAAACTGTGTCAGGTCAACAGAAGCGTTGTTAGATTGAGCACTACTCCCATCTCTGCCCTGGCAGTAGGCACTCTCCCTATCTGATAACAATCTAGCAGTGACAGAGTCTCCTATGTGTTTTCCAAGCTCAGTGATCAAAATCCCCAGGTGCCCAAGTGCATTTTCTGTTTCACTAGGTTGGCGTTGAATGGGGGTGGAGGTGTGCGGGGTTGGGGTAACACTTTGGCCAACTGAAAAACTTGCACCACNATATAAGAAAGGCTGAATCTGTCAGAAGTAAAACTGAGCAGAGATTCTTTGGTCTGTGAGAAATTAAAATGAGATTTACAAATCACTGTGTTCTCATTTTATATATTTTTGGGTTGAGCAAAAAAACAGCGAAACTGCAATAACTTTTACAGTATTTGAATAAAACACAGTCATTTTATGTACAATACAGTTTCTCAAATAATTTAGAATCTTTGAATTCAAAATATGATTTGTCTCAATAATGTAATAATGATATGTTTAAAAGGATGTTGGGTGTATAAAATCGTATAAATGGATTTTCTTTGTGAATTTATTCAAAGTTTTAACCTATTAAACTTAGGTTAAACGATGTGAAAAGAATAGCTCAGTTTTTTAACGTCCAAATTAGGGTTAGGGTCTGTTATCAGAAGCTGCTGCTTGTCTTCTTGTCACAGTTTGGATGCATTGCCACTCTGTGGCCTGAAGGGGGCAGCACCTCCAGCTTTGCTCGGTTTGTGTGCTCATTAAACTCGAGCCTTTTTGACCCTCTCTGTTTACCGTAGCCTGCACGGCGGGATTGACTGAACATAGGGAAAGTGTGGCAACGACAACAAAACTATTTAGCCATATTCAGAAAGTCGGTTAATCATAGTAAACCACGCTGTGGTGGACATAAAAACGTAATACCAGCGACATATAGGTTTTGTTTAAAAAGCAGCGGCAACAAAGCGCTAGCTTGAGTTGTTACAGTTTAGCTAGGTAGCAAACTCGACGGTGTATCTCCAGGGTGTTGTTGCGGTGAAGATGTGCTCTCTGGCTTTGTTTCCTCCGCTGACCTCCGGACAGACAACTCTGTGCGAGTCCAACAACGAGCTGCTGTCAGGGTCTACCAACACAGAAGACCCGCTCAAACAGGTTAACAACACAAGTCGCACACAGGAGAGACAGTTTATGTTGTGTCAATGAATGATGCTATCGATGGTCATTAAAACCTGACCATTTATTTAAATGCACATTCAAGCAGCCTATTAAAAAATGTTATGGTGTTTGTTTGTTTTTCATTCAGGACTTGATTCCTCTGAGTCTGAATTTTCCCAGAGAGTCCCTGAAGCTCCACAGTCGCACAGAAAGCAGCAGTAAAGCAGCTTTCCTGGATCACTCTGAAACCCTGTGGATGAGGAGTGCAGCAGCCTGGTAGGACCATTCAGCATGTTGGGTTATTTTTTGTCCTGGTCCAGCTGGTTTCTGAACCAGCTGTTAAACTCATTTTGTTGCTCGATTTTCCTCAGTGCTACTGGGGATGCATGAACTAAAGGTGCAGATGCAGAAAACAAGGCAGCTGCCCTCTTTACCACACAAAATTTCAGATGCATCAATAATGAAATGTGCACAGCCCCATGCCAATCTCATCACTGCAAACACACATTTTTTCTGTTGATGGTATGCTGGGAAAATGTTATAATTATAATTTACATTGTCTTTATTTGCAGTAATACTCTGAAATCCACGTGGGTAGTGTCTAACATTAGCAGACGAGGCTTAGATTCTGCATAACTGATCAATATTTATGGCTGACCATATTTTCTTGTATTTTATGGGTGCGCACTATTGCTGGGCAATAAAACTTAAAGCATATTGGAGGTGTTTAAGGTAATGCTTTAAGTGCTCAGTTGCACATTCATTAGGATGTAAAAACAACATGTATTGGATTTATACACACACACATACACACACACACACACACACACACACACACACACACACACATATATATATATATATGTGTGTGTGTGTGTGTGTGTGTGTGTGTGTGTGTGTGT